CCACCAGCGGCTTCCTGCTGGCTCACGATGTCTGCCTCAGCGTAGTGTGGGGCCTCATCTGTAGGGTGGGATGTAGAGGGTTCGGAAGAGGCGTCGATCATTGCTGTAACACAACCATATCAACATTGGTATAGGGATAGTTCACTAAAAAAAAAAAAAATTCTGTCATCATGTCAATCTAAACCTCAGTTCTGTTATTTATTTATTTAATTATGTGGAACAAAAGGATATGACACAGTTTCAAAAGTTTGGGATTGATAAGAGTTTTAAACGTTTTTGAAAGAAGTCTCTTATGCTTACCAAGGCTGCATTTATTTGATAAAAATACAGTAAAAACAATAAAAATGTGAAATATTATTACAATTTAAAATAACTGTTTGCTATTTTAATACATTTTTAATTGTAATTTATTCCCGTGATGCCAAAGCTTAATTTTCTCCAGTCTTCAGTATCACATGATCTGATGTCTGCTTTGGTGCTCAAGAAACATTTCCTATTGTTATCAATGTTGAAAGCTTTTTTTTTTTTTTGAATTAATTGAAAGTTAAAATTATGAGCATTTATTTGAAATAGAAATCTTTTGAATGTCACTTTACTTTACTGTCACTTGTGATCAAGTTTATACGTTCTTGCTAAAAAATGTATTAATTTCTTTCCAATAAATAAATAAATAAAATAAAAATAAATGTTACTGTAATTTTTGAAAAATCTTATCAGAGCTGTTTGCATAAAACCGCATAAAACTAGTCCATACTCCAACTTTTCTAAAGGTTTGTGTGACAAAGAGACAACAATATAAGTTGTTATTCATTGATAATGTTCTTCTATGCCGCAATTTTTATATGGTGGCAGGTTTGAGAAAAAATATGTCTGTTGATTGATATCCAGTGTCACATGATACATCGAAAGGAGCCATATTTGAAATTAAAGTTATAGCAGATGAAAAGATTGTCAATTATTAATACCCTAAATTTCAGGCTGCTCATCAAACAAAGATATTTTATGTGGCCATTTTGGTGTTATTTTCTCCTGACAGACTACAAACTACTATAAACTAGGTTTGGAATGACATGAAGATGGGTAAAAATTTATGACAGAATTTTCATTTTAGGCTGAACACACAATAAAGGCTTTCCCTCTGACACACACAGAATAAGCTTACATATAATGAGACGGGGGAAAAAACAAAACAATCTTCCAATAATTTTTTTATGACACTGAGCAACCCTAACCAAGGTTTTTCATAGCCTGGAATTCTGGTAGTTTCCGTAAAAGTTGTGACGGTAGTGGTAGTCAGATCCCATGGGGAAAATCCTTTCATATGAGGAATTTGATTAAACGTCGCTGGACAGAGAGGAGTGACAGTGGGAGAATGCCGCTCTCTGAACAGACAGACGCGCGGTCAGCTCATAATCCAGCATACGCCGAGAGGCCTTCAACAAAGAGTGATGCATACATTCTACATTCATAAAAAACCTTTAAATTAGCTACTTAGCAATGCAACTTTTATTATTTTCATGTAGTTTAACTTGATGTACTAAAATAACTACAACTGAAATAAAAAGGAATAAAAACTATATAGACATTAAAGGGGTCATATGATGTGATTTATAGTGCTCCTGTGGCTCAGTGGTAGAGCATTGCGTTAGCAGTGCAAAAGGTCATGGGTTCAATTCCCAGGGAACACACATACTGGTAAAAAATGTATAGCCTGAATGCACTGTAAGTCGCTTTGGATAAAAGCGTCTGCTAAATGCATAAATTATTATTAATTAAATTATTAATTAATTATTAAATTATTTCAATTTTTCCTTTCTCTTTGAAGTGTTACAAGCTCTTGGTGCATAAAGAAGATCTGTAAAGTTGCAAAGACTAAAGTCTCAAATCCAAAGAGATATTCTTTATAAAAGTTAAAGAGTCAACCACGCCTACCTAAAACGGCTCGTTCTAACACGCCCCCACATGTCTACGTCACGATGTGGGAAGATTTGCATAACGCCGCCCAAATGTTCACGCAAAGAAAGATAGCGTAACTTTTATTCTCGCTGCAGTATTGTTGTTGCCGCCATGTCGTGAAGACGCGTGTGTGTTTGTGTTCTGTATGTTTCATTGTGAAAGCGAAACTACTTTATTTGGCCTTCCAAAAGAGGACGAAGCGGAGTCCAGCCCGGGGTCTAGCCCGCCGTGTGAAACTACTACACCAAATACACAAAATAATGTTCTTTTTAGCAACATCATATGACCCCTTTAAATTTTTTTTATAAAAATGATAAAAACACACAACAAAATTATTAAAACTTTAACTAAAATTAAAATTGAAACAGAATATATGTGTGTGTATAAAAAACTATAGTACCTTAGTGATACTAAAATAACATTGGCTGACGGGGTGAATCTTATTATCATTTTGTACAGTTTTCTATTGCACAAGATTACCAATAGTCATATGCTCAGGAAAAGTACAGAAGGCTTCAAACTCGAGTTTAATAACCAGGGCATAGACGAGAAACAATAATGTACAGTATGTGGAAAATAATGTGTTTTTTGAACCTTAAACCGCATAAACACATTTCATTACACCAAATACACAAAATAATGTAATTTTTTAGCAACGTCGTATGACCCCTTTAAGATGATAATCTTACCTTCTCAATCATCTTCTGCCAGACCTGTCTCCATAGTATGATTACTATGATGGCCAACAGAATGACAATAATGGCCACCAAACAGCCTATTAGGATTCTTGTGTTGCTGTCATCGATTTTGTGGGTGGGATCATCGCCTGCAGAAGGTTCAGAGTAGAAAATACAATAAAATATTTTTTTGATATTTTACAATATCAAAATCTGAATTTTCTGCAAATGGACATCCTTCAGTGCCATACTGAGCATTGCAATGCTTCTATCAAAAATGCGACTGGCTCTTTTTACTATAGGATGGGACTTGCAGTCACCATAATGAGAGTTATGATTTCACCCATTCACGTATAGTGAAAATATTCACACTACATTTTATTATTTTGCAGCATTATTCTAAAATGCTTTAAATGATTATTTTTCATATAAATCTGCACTGAAACTTTATAAAAATGTGAGTTTGCTTGATCTATTAGTCTATGAAAATGTCTTTTTATGTGTATAACTGAAATTCATGCCACTGCATGAAGTAATGAACAACAGGGGGCAGTGTTGCCTGCAAATTTATTCTGTACTATCGTATAACAACCCAATGGCATCTTGTGAGAGCAAACAATAATTGACAAAGAATTCTGTATGTGGTATCTAAAATAAACAAAGTTCACCTGGGTGAATCCCTGGAGTTTGATTACGTTTACGAGGAACAAGAGAGGTGTTGTACACTGCTGTATCTGAAAGGTGAATTTGGGTGAAAGGCATTTTAAACTGCAGAGGTACAGTAATTTTGGTAGGCTATTAATATGCTAAAATTAATCATGAAAAAGTGAACAGATAAGAAAAGGAGCACTGGAGATCATAGAAATTCATAGAAAGATCATAGAGCATGATTACAAACTCTATTACCTGACTGGAAAGCAAGTTCACTGAACATCATCCAGATGTCACCGAATGCAAAACGGCACCTAATTGCGCTGGCCATGCGGTTGCCAAGGGCAACCATGACAAACCGAGCACTTGGACTGATGTTGTCTACTTTTGGCATGAAAACCACAGGATTCGGCTCCCAGTCAGAATCCGAACGGAAGTAACAAATGGCCTGTCGGAACATTTTTACTCCCCATGTATACATGTTGTTGCAGTGGACCTATTGAAACAGAAGGTTATCCATTCAATACGAAATAATTAATTAATAATTCTAATAGTAACATACATAATACCCCTATGAAAAAGAAAGAGGCCTACAATTGCATACACTTTTAAAAATATTATGGAAATAAAATATTTTAAAAGTATTAGCCAATTAATTACTTCTATTGTCTTTTGATTTATGTTAAACAAAAATATACTTTAATGTAATTTTTACTGAAACTTGTCGTGTATTTACATATATTTGTAAATGCACATTTGCAATGATGAACTTGCAATTTTGTTAATTTAAAATATATTAACTTTAAATGTTATAATATTTACACTACAGTTAAAATTACATTATTATTCAAATTATATTATTATGAAGTACTTCACATGTGTTTATTATGTTAGTCAACACATCAAAATAAGTGTACAATAGATTATTAAAACATTGTGATTTAAAATGTACTTTAAAGTAAAGCATTTCATTTGACATTATTACAAAGATCACTTTTTAAAAAAGCATCTTAAGTATGCTAGGGAAACAGTCATGAATTACTTTTTATTTTATTTATAATATATTATCTGCAAGTATTTTTTTTTTTATATACTTTTAACAAGTGCACATTCTATATAATTAAGTGTACTTCTTTTTCACAAGGGACATGTAGACACAGATGTATTTCAGACAAACCTTCATTGATGTGAAATTTCTGACCCGGTCAAACTCAAATGTCATCTCCACTGAGCCACCAGGGAAACTAGCATTGGTCCAGCCCACATAGTCATAGCCAGGCCAGACTCCATACACCTGGCTTTTAGTGAAGTCATCTAAGCCCCAGCTTCCATCAGTGAGCTGTCCAAGTCCTTCTGTCATGCTGGGAGAAAACCTTGTTGTTTCATTGAAGTGAATGAGGTGGTGATATTTGCTTTAGTGTTTGTGTGTGTGATGCTCTACCTGTAACTGATGGCTCCATCATACAGTGTCACTTAAGTGTCATTTAAGTAGATTTGTTGGCCTTTGAAAGACATCTGCTGTAGGACACAAGACCATCTGCAGCAAAAATGAGATATAAAATTGAATTTTTACATCTATCTATCTATCTATCTATACTGTAACAGACATTGACAAGCAAAATAATTCCTATTTCCCAAAAGGAGTTTTTTTTTTAATTGATCTCACGAGTGTTGTCTAGGCAGGAAAATAGTCTGTGTATTTGACAAGTTTGTGTATCATCTGAGGTCAAAGTTTGAGTCTGACAAAAGAGAACATGTTTTTGACTAAACTATTTGATTTTGACCTGGAAGTTTGAAGTTTGCACAAGTTGGTGTATAGTTTTGAGATTTTGAGAAAATGGTGAATTGTTTCATGAATTGTGTGTTAGCAATCGAGAAAAACGGTAATAATATAAGTTATACTACGGGGCCGTTGAATGCTTGAATCTGATTGGCTGACGAACGTTCTGAGGTGTGCAATTATGCTGCGTTCAAGTCCTCCTGGGACAGGATTCCGCCATGTTTCTCATTGACACGCCCCCAACTCGGAAACTCGGGGCTTAAATTTTTTTTCGAGTTTCCCAACTCCTAATAACGACTTTGTGGTGGCGTTCATGTGCGTTCAACTCGTAGAAAAATAATGCACACCCGAGGTGTAACGGCCACGACGCGATAATTTTTCTAATAATTCAACGGCCCATCGTCAATTATTCCTTACTTAATACATAACTAAGTAATTTAATACATAATAATATTACATGACACTACAATTTATTTGCATTACAATAAACACATTCATAAAGTAAAAAAAAACAAACAAACAAAAAAACTCGCCAACCATAAACCCACTAAATGAGGAACAAAGTAGCTCTTGTAGGTGCATTTGCCCTCAGGTCAGTAAGTTTTTCCTGTATGAGTCCACTATGTGACTGGTGTTTATTCATATTGCGTATGGCTCCAGTCAGCTGCCTGTGGAAGAGCAGTAGCCTACTGTATGTACAGTGACCAAGAGAATCTCACTCTCTGTAGCACAACCGTCTACTACAATCATAAACAGCAATGTGTGATAAATACTTTTCTGGTATAAGCAGCAATATGTCTTACAGGATTCATTTAAACCAGAATTTACAAGTATAACTGAATCAAAAGTTTATTTAACAGAAATTTACCTAGGAAATTTAGGTTGCAAAAAAATGCTTATTTTTAACTTTTGGACAAAATATGTTCATATACTTTTTCCTATCACTGCCAAGAATTATTGGGATTATGGAAAAAGAATTACCAGCAGACTCCAAATCATGACTGATTTGTTGGGCATATGAAACAAACTCATAATCATGAATCAACTGAAACATCCTACAAAACACAAATGACACTTACCGCACTCTTCAGTCATAAAGTCAAAGATTACTGCCTCTAAGTATTAACCTCAGAGCAAAACACAGTCCTCCTCGTCTTCACGATCCATCCTGAGGGAAAATGAGAGGCTGGGGCGAATGACCCTCTTACAGGAGCAGAAATAAACAGAGAGAGAAAAAAAAGAGACAGTCAGCACCATTCTGGGGAAAGTCCAAATATCCCAGATTTCAACCTGAGTAACAGAAGGTTTTAATTAGAGTGCAGGATCCTTTCACACAATAGTTCAACGTTTCTCACATCACATATATATATATATATATATATATATGGAACCGGGCTTCACTTTTCCGCTCAAAAAATTCCGAACCCACCAGCGAAACCTTGCTGGTCTCAAACTAGGGAACCTATGCAGTCAGTAGTCTGAGCTTCCACTACAGACCGCAGTTTGAAAGGCGCCATTTTTAAAAGCTGTCATGGTTTCATGTAAATTAAAGGGGTCATATGATGTTGCTAAAAAGAACATTATTTTGTGTATTTGGTGTAATGAAATGTGTTTATGCGGTTTAAGGTTAAAAAAACACATTATTTTCCACATACTGTACATTATTGTTTCTCCTCTATGCCCCGCCTTTCTGAAACGCGTC